CTTTCAAGAGTTTAGAAGGTTCTGATACTCAGTTTTCAAAGAATCAGGTGCTTCCCCACCTCTACGTTGTTGCCATGTGGAAGGAGACAACAAAATCAAGATGGAATTTTCCAGTTTGTAGCTTAAACTTCCTTGCACAACCCTTAAACCTGAGGCTGCAAACTGGTGGCCCTCAGGCCAGAGATATTTTGTCTGATCTGACAGTGATTCTATAAAATCTCAGTTATTTGCCAGAATTTTTGATTGATTGATTGATTATTTGAAAGAGAGCAGGGGCGGGGGGAAGAGGGACAGAATCTCCAGCAGACTCCCTGCTGAGCATGGAGCCTGATGTGGGGCTTGATCTCATGACTCCGAGACCATGACCTTGAGCTAAAATCAAGAGCTGGACACTTAACCACACTTAACCAACTGAGCCACCCAGGCGCCCCATTTGCCAGAATTTATAGCTGAAGTGATCTCATATAAAAATCTTGATTTCTGACTTTTCTGGAACATGGAAAGGTCTGGCAACACCTGGTTCATATAATTGCCAGTCCCTGGCTGAAAGAACAGAGTACTTACTTTCTTCCTCATTATCTCTGTTGGAAGGTAGATCAAGCCACTGTAAACATTTCTACCCTAAGGGAGGTTTGGGTCTCTTGATTGCTCAGTCTGGTGGGATTCACACTCCATTCTAGGGCTGCTCCATGAATAATAACACCTTGTCTCTGGGTCATGATAAATTTTTAGCCTACAACTGTCCAGAGCTTTGTGATTGCTTTATTTGGAAAATGCATCATTGGTCCCAGAAATCTCTTCACTGGGTGGTGGCTCCTTGCCCTTCTTAGAAGGCTTTATGGCTCCAGACCTCTAAAAATTCTGCCTTCACTCCTATTTGGTTCATCTACAGCATAGTCAGTGGAACTTTTTAAGACTAATTCTCTTGGAGGAAAAGCTTGGCTTTACTTGACCATCTAAGCTAGTAGCTGGGTCTATTGTTCCAATGGCAGCCACCATCATCCTGAGCCATTCTGTCTCAGGTTAACTCCTGCTGATGACATTTGTCCATCCAAATGACTAGATTTTCTATGATGGCTTCCCCCAGGTTGCCTCATAGAGAGAACTTTTAGAATCCTATCACTTTCTGAATACTAGTGAATGATTATGTGCATTGTAAATATAATAGTTCCTCACAACAGCAAGGAAGATCCTCCCCCACACCCTTTTAAAAAATGGAATCACAGAAAAGGTGATTTTCAAAGGTAGAGATAATATGAAATGGGATGGAAAGCAAATGTTTTGGAAGCCAAATTGAGTAAAAAAGATTTCAACAGTTGGGGATGACTTGCTAAAAGAAATAAAATGGATTTTGAAGGATAAATCTGTAGTCTTGAACTGCAATTAAAGAAATCGTATCTTCAAGCTCAAGGTTGGAGATATGTGCCTTAACTGTGGTTCATGCTTGGACATTGAGGATTCTATTTGACTGAGGAGGACCATTGTGACCTGAGTGCTAAGAAGTGATGGGCCCTTAGATGCGTTCATTGCGCCCTGACAGCCTGTGAGCCTAAGGCATTGTGCTGTGTTTGACTGGCATACTGATTTGGAAAAATTTGCAATGGAATCCCTTCGGGGGAGGCATGTACTCTCTGGTTTTATTCATTTATGGTATGCCCCCAATTCTTAAGGTTTTTGTGTTTATGGATGGTCCTCCTTCCCCCCTCCTTTATAGTAGCACTCTTCTGGGGGCACTGGGATCCATTTCGAGCCCACACGTTGAGAGAGAATTAACAAAGGAAGGGGATCAAGAAGAGGATGATATAGATAGGAAAGGAATCAGACACCAGTTTCTGTCATAATCACTGAGAGAACCACAGCTGTCTACCTGGTCCAGTACCTGAAGGACTGTCATGTGGAAGAGGAGTTAGGTTCAGTCCTTGTCATGGAACAATTATAGACTACACACCTTCAGTCACCAAGCTGAGAGAATACAGAGAGGAGCAAGTTGGTCTCTGTCTTCGAGGCCGAGTTTACCCCAGAGCAGAGGGGACCCACAGAGATGGCTGTAAAACACACAGTCTCTGTGGTTCTCCAGAAGACAGAAAGGGAGAGGCCAATTTCAGCTTGGCTTAGAAAGGCCTTTCCTCACAATTAAAGCCCTCCCCCAATGGAATGGGCTGCCTTAAAAACTTGCCAGCAGTCGTATTTCCAACTGTTGAAGACAAGCTATAGGAGTTTGGAATGAGGGTTGCAGTAGATGACTTTTCTCCCTCTGTTAGTGTCTGGTCCCAAGACCACCGACCTGCTTTCCTTTACTTACCCAGAGAGAGTGGTCACCATGTGAAATGCTTGTGGGTTGTACTCAGCATTTTGGGCAGACCACACGGGGAAGGGTGTTGGTTTGCAGGGTTTCCAAGTGTGGAATTGCACTGATGTGTCGTCTGTCTTCTGGAGACGCCAGCGTCGGCAGGCAGGGCCCAGCTGTAGTTTTTATTCACGGACCTGGGAGAAGAAGCAAGGGGCGTATTTGGCAGGTACAGTCTTGTTTCTGGTTGCTTCTTTTGTGTGTTGACTGCATCTGGCTCTGAGGATCATGTCATTACCTGTGAGTGGGGCAGCACTGCCTTTCCTGGGACAAGTATTTTGAGGGAAGCCTATTTCCTATGCCCGCCAGGAACCCAAATAACATCATATCCAGCAATTAGCTGCCAAAATAAGAGATTCCTAATTCTTCCCCTTTGATAGCAGAACTTTAAAGTAATTCAGATTTCTGTCGTGTCCCTTAGAGATCCCTCAGCCTTAGAAAATGTGTCACCTTTGGCTCCATGCAGAGACTAAACTGAGCAGAGGCAGCATCTCTTCACGGCCTTCAAGGCAGAATGTTCTGGCAGCGTCCTTCTTGTCCTGTCCTCTCTCTGCTACCACATGGCCACTGTCATCAGCTCTTGCGTCCTCACTGTTTATATAATGTGATTGTAAGGAAAGCAGACAAGGCCTCTTTCTTGGCAACTACATTTTAAGGTTCAGAGAGGCAGATGTTATCTGGATTTGGCATTTCTTTCCAATTCTTGCATGCTTAACCCTGGTTTAGTTCTTTGGGACATTTCCCCCTACCCACAGATATGTCAGAAATCACCTGGAGGATGTGGAGACGAAGTGTAGTAAGTTGAAGTGAGCAGAACTGCCACCCAGTTCCCCAAACTGCTATCATTGCTCTCTGCAAGGGAGACAGGCAGTTCTTTCTAAAATGCTTGGAGCCAGAATTCAATGTGAAACCCCACAACTGCTGTGGCTTTGGGACGTGTGGACAAGTCAGTCATCCTGGCAGACACCCTTCCCCTGCAGGGTTCTCTCCCCTGGAGAAGTGGAGGGGAGCCAGCCCCAGGGTTTCCCCACACCCTCAGCTGGAGTGGGCTGACCGGCCAAGCTACCTGCCTCCTACACCGGGACCCGTGGAGTCTCTAGAGTAACAGAGGCAGAGGGCGGAGGTTCTCAGCCCTGACAGCAAGTTAATTACACCTGGAGGCTTGGCGGTAGGGGAAACAGTGCATGGACCCCATGACTCCCCAGAGTTAATTTTGTAAAGCAGCTTTATAAATTCCACATACCGAACAGTTCACACATTTGGAGTATACAAATAAATGGTTTCTAGTATATTCAGAAAGTTGTACGACCATTCCCACAATTTTAGGACATTTTCAGCAGTCACTCTCCCATTCCCCCCAACTTCCCCAGGCCTAGGCAGCCAGTTACCGATCCACTTTCTGTCTCTACAGAATTTGCCTGTTCTGGACATTCTGTTTAAATGGAATCACACAGTAGGTGTGTCCTTTGTGGCTGGCTTCTTCACTTAGCCTGTTTTCAGGGTTTGTCCACATTATCGTGTATCAGTACTTCTACCTTTTTATTGCTAAATAATACTCCCTTTTATGAAGATACTATAATTCGTTCATCCGTTCATTAGCTGATGGACGTTTGGGTTGATTCCACTTTTCTGCTATTATGAGTAATGCTGCTAATAAACGATGTGTACAAGTTTATCTGTAGATACATGTTTTCATTTCTCCTGGGAATATACCTAGAAGTAGAATTTCTGGGTCATATTGTAACTTTAGGTCTAATCTTTTGAGGAGCTGCCAGACATTTTCCAAAGCAGCTGCACCATTTTACAGAGGCATTTCATAAAAGCTCCCTGTGCTGATTCTAGATGTGATTATAACGTGCTTCCCATGTAGATAAGAATCCTTACTCTGCCTCATTTGGAAGTAAAAGCACAGCAGAATAGATACCAGCTTTTACCTAAAGGAGAGAATAGTTTTCAAGTCTTCACGTCTTCCAAGTTGTTCTTTTCAGCATTCCACAGCCCTCAGCTCTCGCTGGCAGCCCAAGATGAACCTGAGCCCCAACTAGAGGACTAGCCAGTCTAATGCTGGGTAGGATTATCCAGCGTCCGCTGACGCCAGGGGTTGCCTGCAAAGAGTGAAGTTGATCTGGAAAGCTGATCTGTAGGTTAAGTGCAGCAGGGCCACAGATGTGTGATTCCCACTTCTGAGAATGTGACATTTCTTCTTTGTCATCACTTTCTTGGTGCTATCTGGTAAAAACTGAGTCATGATGTGCTGACAAAAATCCATTGCACTTAATGTGGAACTTGAGGTATCTACTCATTCCTGAGATATTCCCAGCTGTCAGTCCTGCTGGCTAGATGGTAAACAACTTGCTGGGGATGAAATCCTGCCACTGTGACTTTTCCCAGCTTGTCTGAGAGGTGCAGACCCAGACGGCTGGCCTGTGAGAACCTGAGCATGAGGGAGGGCTTCGTGGTGGTGACTCCAGGGTTGAGCGGCCCCGCCCTTCACAGAGGCCTGTTTCCAGAGTAGCCCCAGTGGAGGGATGCAAAAGCCAACTGTCCTTGTCCTGTGAGCTTTTTAAAAACCTTCCTTCTGCTGCAGATGCGCATTTCCAGATGGCACCTGTGGACCGACCTGAGCCTTGTTGTCCTTTCTTTGTGTTCGCAGCCACGGCACAGGGTATGAGAGTGATAACCACACAACGCCCATCCTCTGTGGCGCCCAGTACAGAATACACACCCACGGCGTCTTCAGGGGCATTCAGGTGAGAACTCGGGGTGGCCTCACTGGAAGGGCACTTCTATGCCTCTTTCCCTTCTCAACAGCCTTTCTTTTCCCTGCTGATGGCCATCTGGCCATGGTAAGTCTGGTCCTAATTACAGGCTCCTTTGACAATAGGGACCTCTCCACTTCCACTAGGGCAGAGAGGACAGCCTCCTCTCTACAGGTCCTTGTGACCACGGCCTCGTCCCTGACTCAGACCAAGATGCTTCTGGCAGAACCCTATCCCTCTCCCCTTGACTGGTTAATTCACCTTTCCAGGTGGGCTGTGCAGCTCTTGCAACGAATGACCTGGACCCTTGGCTTCCAAGTCAGACCCTTGACTTGGTCTGCATTGTCCAGTGCCCGAAGTTGACTCTTCTCTTGCCAAGTGTTCTACTAATAACAGTAAATAATGACAATAACAGCACCACCATGTGGGTGCTGGACACGTTCTATATGCCAGGCAGTGTGCTGAATTTTATATATGGGCTTTTTGTCTTCAAAGACTTGATTTTTTAGAGCAGTTTTAGGTTTAAGGAAAAATTGTGCAGAAAGTACAAAGAGTTCCCATATCCTCCCTCTTCCCCCTCCTCCCTATTAACATCTTGCCTCAGTATGATACACTTGTTACAGTTGATGAGCCAGTATTGATGCATTATTATTTTTTTGAAACATTATTGTTAACAAAAGTCCATAGTTTACGTCAGGGTTGGCTTTTTGTGCCATGGGGTTCCACGGGTTTTCTTAAATGCATAATGCCACGCATTTACCATTACATTATAGTACAGAATAGTTTCACTGTCTAAAAATAAAAATGCCTGTGTTCCACCTATTCATCTCTCCCCTCTTTCTCTCCTCCCCCTGACAACCACTGATCTTTTTACCGTCTCTATAGTTTTGCCTTTTTCCAGAATGTCGTACGGTTGGAATCATACAGTATGTGGCCTCTTCAGACTGACCTCTGTCACCTAGCAATATGCATTTAAGGTTCTTCCTTGTCTGTATTTTATTTTTCCATTTAGTCCTCAGTGCACCTTTATAGGTGGGTACCGTTACGTCTATTTTACGGATGAGGAAACTGAAGTCCAGAGAAGATGAGTGACTTGTCCACAGTCACATAGCTAGTCATAACATGAGTCTTGTCCGATTCCGGCACTGTGTTGCATTGCTTCTTAGGGAGACAGAGGGCCATGAACAGTTTGTGGGGGGAGGGGCCTCCAAGGAGAGTGAGGGAAGTAAAGTAAAAAGGTAAACATTTTGGAGAATTTGGGAAAGTCCATGGCAGGCCACCTCAGCAAAGCCTCTTTGGGGAGGTCAGAACCGCACATGGTTATCAAGGGTCTGCATTTGTGACTTTCACTTATGAGTGACAGCAGTGATACTTTCACGAGAATAGTCAGTATTCTAGAAGTAAGTTGTGTGCGAGCCAGGTCCCCACATGAGGTGTGGAGCAGGTAGCTCTGAGATGTTCTGGTTGATGTTTCCAGGAGCATCATGGTGATAGAATAACGTGCTCCCTCTGCCCAAACCTTCCAAGGGTGACAATAAAGGTGAGGGTGACAGAAAGCCCCGAAGTCCGATGGAGGTACAGGAAGTCATCCCAGTCTCTCCTCCTGGCATCCTCCACCAGGGTCCTTGACTGACCTTGACAACGCGACTTTTTATCCTGTTGCTGTATGTGCTGCATCTCGATTGAACCAAAGGAAATGAAGAAGCCCCTTTTGCCTTCCTTTCTACAAAGCCCGGTTTGTGAGACTCACTGTCACAGCTGCTGATGGACTCCAGACCTCACAGGTGTTGTTTCACCACCGACTCGTTTTCTCCTAGAGTATGATAGTCAGACGCAGCTGGCTCGCCATTTAAATTTACGTCACCCTTTGACCTCGAGACCCTGTGGCCTATCAACAGCAAATTTGTATGTCACCACAGTACTTCTCCTTCAAAAAAGGTCTCACAGTGCAAGGCAGTGAGAAATAGAATCTAGACTATAAGCATGGTTTGGAAGATGCACAGAGCACAGGATGGGTTAAGCTCAGAGGCAGTTCTGGGTCTTAACACAAAGCATGGATGTGCACTTTGGTCTTGACTTGCACATCTGTAAGAGAATGAGGAGGATTCAGTGGCCCCTGGGGCACTCCCACTTCTCCTGTCCATGAGTCATTGATCCTGAGAGCCGGAAGGGGAATTTGTTTCTGTGTCCCCTTAGCACCTTGTCATAGAGAACTGACCATACACGTACCCACTCCCACAAGGTGAAGGGAATCAACAGTGAAGGACATAGAAAGTGTCCGGAAGGCAGACACAGTGTTTTCTGGTCTCACTATTAAGTGATTACACTGGCTACGCTATTGGAGTCTGGTGGTTTCAGCCCCTTCACAGAGAGAACCTCCAATTCTCAGGGGCTCTTCCTTCCTTGTCACTTACTCCCACCTGGAAAGCCTGGTCAGTTTGGGGTTCATTCAGTATCCCGTGTTTTTCTCTTAATAAGGACTCCCCCATACATGGCAGACTGGGCCTGAGGTCATGTGGCCGTGTGTCCAAGTGGGAGGAAATAGATCCTGGGACTTTGGACTTCTAGACCTCACTGCCTCAAGTGGAAAAGCTGAGAGACAGGATGGATTGGGAGCTCTTGCAGTCACCAGCATTTCTTTTCTAGATCGTCTGGATCAGCAACCCCAAACAAACTTCAGTGAAGTACCAGTTCTGGTTGATCAGTAGTAATGATGTTGGCGTGATGCACTGTAGCATGTCCTGATCTGTCATCCATTAGTGATGTCTGCTGTGGGCATCTGGGGTATGGATAGGAGTGGTTTTAGTTCTTATATCTGTCATCCCTTCTTTGGGTATTTTCTAAAGCTCACTTCCCCTCAGGACTGACATGAATGTTCACATGTGGCTTAAAGCCTCCATTTCTCTTACACTCTGCTCGTAGGATGTGCGACGTGTGCCCGGAGTTGCCCCGACTCTTGTCCGGTCAGCATCTGAGACCAGTGAGAAACGCCCCTTCATGTGTGCTTACCCGGGCTGCAATAAGAGATATTTTAAGCTGTCACACTTACAGATGCATAGCCGGAAGCACACTGGTAAGTGTGTCCCCTGTCTAGCCTTGTTTCCCGTGGCCTATGGGCAAGGGTAGTTCAAGAGCTCCTGTTCCTGCCTGGTCCCACTGCTAAGGACACAGGAAATTTCTTGGATTGATAGTAGGCAATGCTTTGAAAAAAAAAAAAGGCTGCAGGGGCATTTTGCATCCTGACTGTCCATCCTTTAATAAAGAATTCAATAAACTGTCTTCAGGAGGGCAGAGCAGAGTGGTGGAAAAAGAATTCCACCAAACTAAAGAGACTTAACTTATGTTTGAATTCTGGCTTCACAACCAAGTGGTGAGACCTTGAGCAGTTACTTAACCTGTCTTTGAACTTCATTTTGTCTCATGGAAAATGGAGTTGGTAACGCATATCTTATTCCAGTGTTAAGACTAGATTCACTTTTTTTTTTGAGAAAGAGAGAGAACAAGCAGGGGAGGGGCAGAGGCAGAGGGAGAGACAATCTCAAGCCAACTCCACGCTGAGTGTGGAGCCCAATGTGGGGCTTGACCTCATGACCTGAGACCATGACCTGAGCTGGAATTAAAGAGTCAGATGCATAACTGACAGAAGCACCCAGGTGCCCCAAGTCTAGATTAACTTTTAAATCAAATTAAATGCAAGGCATTAGATATGAAGCACCTAGTATAGTACCTTATGTTAATAGGACTGAATAAACAATAGTGTAACTATCAGAATACTATTAGCATCTCTGAAGAGAGAGGACCTATTCTGGGAATTTGGTAATCAGATAGTTTTGAGAGATTGATGGGCAAGGTCAATAAGACTTAAGGAGAGATGGTCCAAAGAAGAACTGAGCTGTGTGAGTTAGTAATACCCAACCAGATAGGAATGGGAAAATGGATTCGTAGGTTTAATTTTTGTTTTCAATCTTAAAAAAAAAAAGAGATTTTTGATGATGTGTCAAGGAAAATTGGATTTTTCCACAGGTCAAGGGATCTGCCTTCCCCTGGGAAAGAGAATTGGCCTCGTCGGTTGTTGGCCACCTTGAGTATGAACAGCCATTTCACAAATGTTTGCTCTTGGCCTGTGGGCACTGGACGGGAGTGTGGTTGGGTCTCCACGGCAGGGAAGCAGTGGGAAATACAGGCTTTCCTACAGGGGGGCTGGTGGTTTGTTTGTTTTTTTCCCCTGTAACTGGAAAGACAGTTTCATTGTTACAATTACCCTTACTATTTTGTTATGACTGCTTATTTTGCTTTGGGGAAGTTGAGGAAGAGAGTGAGCTGCATTCACATCTCTTCAGATCGTTGGACTTTGCTAAGTTGTTGTGTTTGGAGGATGCAGTTCTGGAACAAACCTGAGTTTGCACTCAGTAGACCTCATGCTCTGAGGCTAAAGATGAGAGAACTAAGGGCCTGGTATATTTTTACATGTTTCTCCAAATGGGATCGTTTGAAAAGTATCTGTGAAGGTTATAAAGAAAAACGATAAAGTAAAATTGTGGCTGGAGAAATGCAAGGGAATACGCTGAAGGCAATATGGTTGTAGAAACCTTGACTGGGGAAGAGACACTTAGCAAGAAGTGAGGGGGAGATGTCTGTGTGAAGTAGAAGCTGTGGGCAAGGTAGCCATGACCCCCAGACCCACCGGAGGCTTTAAGAAGCTCTTCTTTGTGGAGGACAAGGAGAGTGGCCTGGTATTTAACAGTCCTGCAGCGCTTTTCTTGAAAGAATGCCATCTTTTCTTATCTACGTATGACAATAGTACGACTATTATATTAAGTACTTTTATATTAAATATTTTTTATGTGCCAGACTCTCTACATGGATTATTTCATTTAATCCCCACACACTGACCGGTTATCAGGTGGGTAGGATATAGTGGAAGCAGGACCCATGCTCATGGCTTTTAACTCCAAGTCACAAACCCCCTTCTCAAAGAGTTGATGGTCTGTTTTGGAGCTAGGATACACACAAATGAAGAGGGGTTAAGAGAGTATATGACAGTGTACTAAACCAGAGGCTGGAGGAGCTGAGAAGAGTTGCTGATTTGAGCTAAAGTCATCCCAGAAGGAGGAAGCGCTTGGGCTAACCATCAAAGGGTCGGTAGGGTGCGGTAGAGGAAGGAAAGAAGGAGCAGAGGCAGAAAGGCAGGGAAAAGAAATGCGACTGAGTAGGGCTGTTTAAGTATAAGGCACTGGGCTAGATATAAATACAAAGTGAAGGAAAGGCTCCTGCCCTCAGGATTTTCCAGCCCCTGGAGGCAGGTAGCTCTGGACACAGCCTACCACGTTAGATGTTCTGTAATACATTCTGTACTGAGGAAGAGAAGGGCTTTCGATCTGAACATGAAATTTCCAGGAAGTATTGCTGAGGAAGCAGGCAGCATTGATGAGGGACGTACAGTCGACTTTTTGATGGGGAGGAATGAATGTGGAGATAGGGACAAAGGGCATTTGGTGTGAGCGAAGTGCAAGGCAGATTTTGGGAATGGTGAGCTCTGGTATAGCGGGAATACAGATTAATCAGGGGAACAGAGGAGGTTATGAGGCCGGAAAGACAACGAGGGAATGCCCTGCAACAGAAAGAACAACTGGTCCCGGGATGGCTTCCTCTCTATCCCAGAATACCGGTGACTCAGAATTTTCATAAGAAGTTGGGAAGGCCCAAGGTCGCTCAGTGCACTCATGGAGCTTCGTTTGCAGTGTTTGGCTGAACTTCCTCTAGCAAGGACAGGGCGGGGCTTCTCCCTTCTGAGGCAGGAGGTTGTGTAATCCCACTACTGACTTCTCTCGGATAAAGGAATACCGACACCTTTCTTAATACTTTGGTTCCTGGTTTCACTTGAGTGTCTCACAACCATGGAGCTGTTCAGGCTTGATCCAGAAATGAGAAGTCAGTAGTAGAGAACACCGAACCTTCAGGCCATAAAACATAAAACACTTATTACATGGGGTCAGCTCCAAGGCCTATCCATCGCAGAATTCTGCCTCCAGCTCAGTTGAAGAGTTAAGACTTCTTTGGCTTATGATTTATCTGAAGATTCTCCACCAGTATTTTTGGAGCATGCCTCTGGGCTTGGCACTGGGCAAAGAAGCCCTTTATGTGGATGGCCTGGTTCAGTCTGTTCATAAAGCCTTTGAATTTGTGAGATTATAGGCCCCCTTTCTCAATACGGAAATGGCACGTCACCCAGAGCTTTATGTTGTAGAGCTGGGTGTGACCCTTGTGTCCAGCTTCGGAACCTGAGCTCCCCTCCACTTATAACTCAGAGGTTAGGGACCATCCTCATACAACCAGTCCCCCATTCTACACTCACTGTCAAGAGCCTGTGTGTAGGAGGGCCTTGAACCTCACATAGCAGCATGCTAACAAGGTCTACCGGCGTGCCGTAGGCATTTTGGGATCCCTCAGTCCCAGGGGGAGAGGTTGCCTTTCATGCGATCCCCATTTCCAGCAGCATTTTCAAACGGCATATGTGTCTTCCCCAAGGTGAGAAACCATACCAGTGTGACTTCAAGGACTGTGAACGAAGGTTTTCTCGTTCAGACCAGCTCAAAAGACACCAAAGAAGACACACAGGTTTGTAGGCTCACTTCTCATTGCTGGCAGTTATGTTCTCTTGGGTTGCAGTTGATTTTGTGATTTTCTTTGTTGTTGAATGTGGATGTGAGAGGGTTAGCCATTTGCTTAGCTTTTCCCAATCATCGTGTTCCCCACCACCCCCCGCCCCTGGAGATTTTCCTTTTCTGAAGAAAAAAAAGACAAGGAAACATCCCACATTTCTCCTGCAAACCGCAGAACAGTGGGATCCCAGTAGCCATGTGTTGATGATACACTGAGTAGCGGTGAAGACCAGGGTGGTGGAGAGCATGATCCAATTTGTAGAGTGTGATTCACTTTTTCAGTCTTGGACACAGCCGAGACTCTGGTGGAAAGCTGGACGTTTGTGGTTAAGGAATAGTTGTTCCCCAGACAGAAGCAGATCATCTGGGATTACTCTGCAGAATCAGGTGGTCTGTGCCAGGCCTGGGGCATGGGGGACATCTGAGGGAGAGGCAGACATCATCACCAGGGGGCTGGAAATGCCTGGCTTGTCCGGCCACCTCCAGGAAGCTGGCCCCGGGGGCCTCATTATGCTCCCACATTGTTAGGGCTGCGGCTAGACCTTCTCTGTCCATTTAGGTGTGAAACCATTCCAGTGTAAAACTTGTCAGCGAAAGTTCTCCCGGTCTGACCACCTGAAGACCCACACCAGGACTCATACAGGTAAAACAAGTGCGTAAACTTTTCTTCACATTTATTTTTCATTATTTTTTAAAAAATACTGTTGAATGAAGTTGTTTGTGATGTGAGAGATTGGAAAAGACGAGTGTAGAAGTTCTGAGAACTGTGCATGGCTGTCTTTAACTAATAACATTGTTTCAGAAGGGATGGGGTGGGGACCACAGAGCAGAAGGGAGATGTGAAAAGAACACTCTTTTACTGCGTGGCCAGAAGGAAGGGAGGAGATGAGCTAGGTCCCCACTGTTACCAGTTTGCTACATTATACTGTGTCACTCAGTTTGATTGGATCATCAACTTTACAAACAGCAGAAATTCTCGCAAGCCAAATATTTATTCTTCGGAGAGCTCACATTTCATGACACTATTTTCAGAGACCTGAATCCTTGCTGGGCTAAAAGTTAATGTCCCAGGAGCAGACATGGTTTCTGCCAGACTCATATCAGCCTATGGATATTATTTCCTTTGTACTAGTATAGAGAGGGGAACAGGACATTTATTCACGGGTTGCTGAAAGTTTTTGCTTTTCCGCAAGCTTGTGTGATTCATAACGAAAATAGCACCACCTTTGTTGTGTATTTTCTAGCTTTGGAAGGAGGGCCAAGGCTTAGGGTTATCTCGCTGTATCTTTGCAACATCCTTCCTTGTAAGAAGAAGAACGTAGGCATGTTTTATCCCCATTTTTCAGATGAGGAAACCGAGGCACGTAGTGATGAAATGACTTGTCTACAGTCCCAAAGCTAGTAAGAAGCAAACCCAATTCCTTCTGCTCCCAGCCTACCCTGTCCTACAGCCTTCTTTCTTGGTGAAAGAGCATAGGTTCATCTCACAGCCCAGGGAGGATAGGAATCAGGAAGAGAGCCAAGGTCAGCAAAGCTGAGTGCCATTGAGAGACTGAGGAGAGTGAAGACCAACAAGAGAAAGGGTTGGGCTTTGTCCATTGGAAGATGATCTTTGACAGCATGGCTGGAGGTTGGGGTGGACGGCCAGGAGCCAGATCAGGAAGAGCAGAGGAACAGTGAGTGGGAGGTGAGGGAAAATACGAGGTCATGAGCCCCCATGCAGCTGCAGATTCTCAGCCCGAATAGGCTGCCATTTATAGACAGGGTCAAGGTACCCGTGCCCCAGAGTTGGTGGGGTGGGCATCTCTTCTGCTCTACTCAGGTGCCTCTCGTGTTTCTTCTTTTCCTTAGTCCTGAGCTCATAATTTGGTGAGAAAGTTATCGTCCCTTTTATTCTGCCCCCCTCCTCCTCCAACCCTATGCGTATCTGTATATGCGCAAAATGGCCCATGTCACTGGCAGACTGTTTTACCCTATATTTGATCACCCCCAGTTCTGACCCTGGGACAGCGCCTCCCCTGGGACATTCCTCCCTGTGTGTCCCAACCAGTAGTTCTCAGAGGAGGCAAGGTGGGACCAGTGATACCCTGGGAAGATCTCCCCGGTGGAACAGACGTTGGCTCCCGTGGCCTTCTTACTTCGGATTAAGCCACAGCTTGATCTCCGTAAGGGCCAGGCCTGGGAGGTGGGGTACGGCCAAGGGCGTGGGCTTTGGAATAGACAGACCTGGATTTAAGTCCTGCTTGGGTCTGCCCTCACTAGCGGTCTAGCCTCATCTCCAGAGTGGGGATACTAATGCTTGTCTTACAGGGCTGTTGTAGGGAATACATGAAATAATGTATGTAGATGATGCCCAGCACATGGCTGGGCATATATTAGGCATTTCATAAATGCTGATTATCCTCCCTGTCCAGAATGAGGCTTGGAAGGAACTTCTGAGAGCTCCTTGGATGGAGTGGTCTCGATCTTTTGGCAGGCTCGTTAAAAATCTTAAAACCAAAAAAGAAAAAAAAAATCTTAAAATCATGCCTCAACTCGAACGGGGATTATGCTCTGAGTAACACTTTGAGGTAAAAGAAGCAAATGTCCTGCAAACTGGTATCAGTGACTTATTTTAAAATACCCAGCCCATCCAGAATATCTCCACAGGCAGAGATATTAAAGCTACGGTCACGCTCTACTACAGGAGGGCAATCAATCAGTAATATCCAGGGTGATGATCCTGAGCCCCTGCGGCCCAGTGAAGCTCAGTTCCCTGGGAAGACAGTGCAGGGGAAACATTCATGCAATTCACAAAACGGTCTAACAGCAAAGGGTGAAACAAATGTTTTCCCCTCGATTACATACAAATTGCCCAGACACTTTGATTAACTAGACTCATTCCTTCCCTGCCATTTCCCCAGGCCTCTGACTTAATAATATTTCATACTTTTTATAGTAGTTTAATCCTGAAGAACGCAGAGGTGCTGCCATTTCATGGAATGGGCCCGATTTGTTAGCCTAGGGGAAGAACTAGAGGGAACTGGGAGTGGGTGCCTTGGGATGATTTAACTGGGGCATTGGATAGCTGAACTTGTGCCCAGTCTCTCTGCCGCAAGCGTCTCTGACCGGTAATTGTGTCAACAGGTGAAAAGCCCTTCAGCTGTCGGTGGCCCAGTTGTCAGAAAAAGTTTGCGCGCTCAGACGAATTAGTCCGCCATCACAACATGCACCAGAGAAACATGACCAAACTCCAGCTGGCGCTCTGAGGGGGTCCGACTGGGGGACACGTCTGTGTCCCAGGCAGGACAGTGTGTGAACTCCTTGCAAATCCGACTTTAAAATTCCTCCTCCCTCACCTCTCTGAGAAGGAAATGGCAGGTGGTCTTCTTCATCCAGCTCCCGAGACAAGATGTCTGTACTGCTGGATCCTACCAGGTTTGCCCGGAGGCGTGGGGCTTGCTTGGCTTGCTTTTGGTTGACTCAGAGGCCCTGGAGAAGTGGCTGACAATGTCCAGTTAGTTAAAATCCCATCTCCGCCACTTGGTCTGGATTTCCCACCGGAAGAAAAGCCACTGTTGATAATGTCCCCCCGCCCCCTCTTCTTCTCCTTTTACACTCGTTCTCACTAGGAATGGAGTCATTGTACCATTTTCCATCATAGAATATTTATAGGCCAGGGCATGTGTATGTGTCTGCTAATGTAAACTTTGCCATGGTTTCCATTTACTAACAGCCAGAAATAAATCAGAGAGCAAGGCACTGGGGCTGAGTCCCGTCCGACATCCCGGAGGTTAGGCAGGCGGCGAACCTGGAAGGCAGGATGTAGTGCTACCAGGCACCTTAAAAAAACGTGTGTGTTTCGAGCAGCTGAAGAAGGAATCAGAACTAACCAGTACCTCTGTAGAAAAATCTCAAAGAACCTTCCTGTTCAACTAATTATGTTAACATTAGCACAGTGCTGTTGAGAAACTGTGCTTGGAGATCTGAGATTTGGGTTTTGTTTATTTTCGACTTTTTTGAGTTGTAGTCACATGCATCTTCAGAGATGTACATATCTCCTCACACAAAGGAAGTCGGATTCACTTTTACCATCTGGGGTGTCCTTAGAGTGTACAGACCACGATGGGTATGTGGCTTCAGGTTGTAAACATTAAAGTGATTCTAGAAGAAAATTGGGCTGGTCCAGGATCTCCACTGATAAGACTGTTGTTAAGTAACTTTGAGTCTACCAGCGTATGTGACAGAATGAGACTTACTAGTGTGAGGAAATCCATGGTTTAAAGGTGGTTGAGTGTGTGTGTGTGTGTGTGTGTGCGTGCACGTGTGTGCTTAAAGGAGGGTGTTTATTATTTACTGTTGCTTGAAATTACTGTGTAAATATATATATCTGATAATGATTTGCTCTTTGACAGCTAAACTTAGGAAATGTATAAATGTTAGATGCATCACTGTTTTGGTGTTGATCTTACAACGTATCAATGATAACACTAAAATGTAACCTGCATTTTTCACTTCACTCTCAATTAAAGTCTATTCAAAAGGAAAGTGGCAAGATTGTATCAGCTGCATTGTGTTCAAACCTTAAGAACAGTTGAGACTGTCTTAAAACAGGTAAGAAGATGCTACCGGACATCAGTGATCACTAGTGTAGTCTATCCATGTCCTGACTACTCTCTCTGTTTCTTTCTGACAAACCTCAGAAGGCAATTACCCTTCCTGGAAACAGCCAGCATCGTAAAGTGGTAGTGCTCATGTTGTGGTCTGATGGGTCCGTGGATGGCTTGGTGGGAAGCGCGTTCGAGGGTTTATTTATTTTTTTATTTTATTTTTTTATTTTTTAAAGATTTTTTATTTATTTATTTGACAGAGAGAGACACAGCGAGAGAGGGAACACAAGCAGGGGGAGTGGGAGAGGGAGAAGGAGGGAGCCCGATGCGGGACTCGATCCCAGGACCCTGGGATCATGACCTGAGCTGAAGGCAGTTGCTTAACCAACTGAGCCACCCAGGCGCCCTCGAGGGTTTATTTTAATCAGGCTATCCTTGTATCACTTGTTATTCCAGGTCAGCAAATGAGAATAGGGATGCTAATGATGACTGGTCTTTTCTGGAAAGTTCGCTGGTACATACTGCAGGCAGGAGGCCATAGGCTGAACACCTAGCACAACTGAGTTGCCAACTGTAGTTGCTATAAATCAGCTCAGCAGGTTGAAAGGGCTTAGACTTTCCAGGGCAGCAGAGTCTAAAAGCAAAGGTCTACATTATGTATAAACCGTGAACTCTCTTTCTGGTTCTGGTGTACGGTGGTCTCTCAGCTGTAAATAAGGAGATTGATTTGGTACCGCCCCTCTCAGCTCCAGTAGCTTGGAGTGCGCATGGGTCCAGGTTTCCTTTCTTCACTTACAATGTATCCAGAGCAGATAGCAGCTCAGCCACAGAGACCCTCTTCAGCAGCTCAGAGTTTGGGCCGCCTAAAAGTCAGGTCCTGGGGCCCCTCTTCGTTTGCATCTGGCTCTTGCATCACTGTTAATTATAGCTAGTATGGTGACTCATTTGTATCAGCCAGTTTTATCTTTTCCCGCCAGAAGACAGCATTTCTCTGGAGAAGCTCAGGACAAGCATGGCCAACGTCAGCAAGTCAGAGCGAGCCAGGTTTTACAACAAAAGCAAAGCCACATTGTCTCAACTACAGGAGGAAGACCAGAGATTCTCACACAACCTTAGCGGTTTAGCGGGCAACAGTTAAGGTTATGGGCTTTGGTAAACCGACCAACCTGGATTCAAATCCTAAATCGCTAGTTTCTTCTGTAAGGTAGGAGCAAAAGATTCCCCGGCTAGATAGGATTATTGTAAAGATTAAATTTGAGAAAGAAAGAAAGAGAGAGAGAGGGAAAGGAAGGGAAGGGAAAGAAAAGAAAAGAAAAGAGAAAAGAAAGAAGAAAAGAGAGATCTAGGACGCAGCAAAGGCTTAATAAGCATTACCTAGGAAACCAATTACCCAAGAACTCACCTGCTAATTTCCTTTAGCTCCGCCCCTCGGACGTCCCCTAGCAGTGTCCAGCCATCTTCATCAGTCAGCTCTGCAAAATGACAAAGCCATTTTCATATACCCCCAACCAGAGGTGAGGTTTGCAGCAATAGGGCTCTTGCCAGCATCCGTACAGAGATGACATCTGCTTGCTCTGTGTCTTTTGTGAAGCTCTGGGTGGCAGTGAGTGTGTGCTTCTGAGACCCACGGAACGGCGCATCAGTCGATTGTCAGGGTGAAAGTTGGTCAGTGGGAGTTCTCTGCCGCTCCAGCAAGGGGCTCTGTTTGGTGCACGTGTCAAAATGTGCGTTTTTCCCTCTTGCTTTACTATGGTGTCTAGTTCAGTATATGGTTCAATGTCTTTGAAAGCCCCCTTCTCCTTTGCTGGGATCTTCGCAGACTGTTCCAGTCATCCGTAGCCCCCTCATGTGTGACCTTGTGTAACATTCTAAGTACATAACCTTAAAGAGTAACCTCGGTGGGTGTAGCGCTTTCCCATCTAGGACAATCTGTAAGGTCGACAGGGCAAGTATTATTGCCCCTTTACAAAGGAGGAAGTTGAGGCAGGACTTGGTCTTGGTGTTCTGTATCCACTGCATCATGCTTGATGGTGTAGACTCGCACTCTGCTCCATTGTTTCAGATCAGAATATCTTCCCAGCCAGACTGTGAGCTGCTAGAGAGGAGCAGGTCTCTCCCTTTCCTGAGTTACTTATAGAAAGGCCTTCTCAACCTTCAGTGACCATATGCATCACCCGAGGAATCGCTAAGGGGCATGCTCAGATTTGGACGTTCTGGGGCAGGGTCTGAGAGTCTGCATTTCTCACAAGCTGGGCCGTGAGCCACCCTTTCCATAGCAAGGACCTGGAGAGTGGGCTCAATAAATACTTGCTGAAAGGCGACCGATGAGATTTGCTCTAGACAGGCCACGCTGAGCCTGTCTAGCCGAGAGAGAGCAGCCAGGGGACATGGCCTGTGGCTGTGCTGCGGTGGCCCATGGAGCTGTGGGTGAGGACATGCATGCTGCACGTGTTAGCCCCGGTGAATCCATCCATCAGGAGGTTTGTTTTCCAACCCAGTCTCCCCATCCTCTGCTGGTGACTCGCCCCAAGCAGGGAGGCCTCCCTGGGTGTGTGCTGTGTATCCAGCCTTTGTACCGTCCTCGGTCCACATCGCCACAGCAGGCCTCGACCTCCCCGACACCCACAACCTGGAACTCTGTGGTTTTCGAGCGAACTTACTCCCTGTGAGCCAGCAGCCCATGTCCTGCTCCTACCAGGAACCACTTGCTTAGCGCCTTGGGTACCAACAGGCAAGGGCAGTGGCTTCCAGAGGCCTGTCCTCCTTGCCCGGTGTTTGCTCTTCCGGTCTTGGATGAACAGGTGTGTCAGAGAGAGGTGTGTGTGTATGTGAGAAGAACAGTGGTTCTTGACTGGGGGCATTTTTCTTCAGAGCCTCACAGCTGGCTCTGAATTTCTCACAGGTAAATGCCCAAGACAGTAAGGGAAGGCAAGCTTCCACAGGAAGGAAGACAAATCCCTAAGAAAATATGAAGGTGTTGGCCCTTTTCATTTAGGTCTTTGCTTCTAATGACAGTGTTAGTGTATCAAGTGATTGAAATCTGCGCAACGCGTAATAAGTAAATTTAAATGATCATGATGATGAAGATCGCACCTGGTCTGGTTTCTTAACCAACTGAGCCACCCAGGCGCCCTTGCACCTGGTCTGGTTTCTTGCGCTGAGAAAGTAGCTGCTTTAGGGGAGGGCGCCGGGCTTTTCTCCGTTTTTTCTGCAAAATCCTGATTCGGTTAGTTCTTGAACTGGCCTAGAGAAGGAATGAGAGAGCCAGACAGCAGAGGAAGGGGCTGGTGGGTTTCCAGCCCAGCCAGCAGACAGCCATGTGTACTCAAGTCCTGAATGAGGTTGGTTTTCGGAGACAGATGAGAACAAACTCCTCAAGACCCAGGACTCTGGAGAGTCAGTGCCTTTAGGCCCAGACTGGAAACCAGCCGGGTCTGAGTGGAAGCCTCAGACAGAGAGATTGCAGATGTAAGCAGCAAAGGCAGACCAAATCAGCACATGTGAGTTGAAGAGATAACAAGATATTTTTATGGAGCAGGGGAGGATTGAAGGCCGGTCCGGGGGAGATGGGGCTGAGATAAATGCACAGGGTGGGTTGGTTGAAACAAGCAGCCTTTCCCCTCACAGCGTCCCAGGAGCACTGGGGATGTTGACACCGG